GAGCCGCTTCTCCGGCTTTGTCTGCCGCTCTGATGAGATGTTAACTCTCAGCAGGTTCCCGCGCTGGAGCAGGCTGCCAACATCTTCGTCGGCGAGGGCTCCACAAAGCTCTTGCGTCCCGCAGACACTCGCGTGGCCCACGCCGGCCACGGACAGAAACAGCGCCAGAAGGAGCATTGCGACGCCGCAGGCTACCACAGGCTACCTTCGGGAGCCCCTGGAGGATGAACTCCCGGTGTCTTCCCCTTCAGTGTTGGGTTTTACTCAGCCCGGGGCTCCCATTTCACATGCGAGAACGGGGTACGGTGGACTTGACGAAGAGCCGTCACCATCGCAAGCATCAGCTCAGACCTTCGAAGCAGTGACCGCTTGAACTTGCCCCACTTTCCTCTCAACAGGTGAGGCATATCGAGGCGAAAGCTGCATCTGTCTTCAAAGGCCCTTGTTTCCTGGCCCTTTCTGCCTTTCTTGCCTTGCTGCCTCCTATTGTCAACAACGCATGCAATCATGTCACACGGTGCTCCTGCATGGTCATGTTCGTCAATCTCTTCGTGCGTTTTCGAAACCTCTCTCGACGATCTCCTGAACTACTTCAGATGAAGCTACTAGGCGGTTCACGGGAAGAGCTTCCGAATGGCAGTCGGCTTTCGTGACTGGGGACTCAAAGGCTCGAAGCCCGGCACCAAAGCTCTCTATCTACACTCTTCCAGTCGACAACAAGCATCCAAATCTGCATACAATTGCCCAGCAAGGTTTTGACTCAGATAAGGCATACATGGCATACCGCTCCGTCTGGGGTCGGCGTGTCCGAGCCGCAATACTCACGGCTTTCATGCTGCCCGTTTGGGCGTCAGCATCCCGTGCGACTTCAAACATTTCACATGAAGCAGCGACTCATAGCTACAGCACCGTCAAACTGGTAACCAGAGTGTGCGCAAACAAACTAGCTTCAGCGAAGGACGACTTAGCCCGAGTAAAACGAATACCTGCCGAAAACCGTCCACTTGTTTCTTACACGTCTGACACTTCACTGGGCTCCTGATCTGGGAGACTTACACTCCTTCAGACCCGCACTCCTTCGCCTAGGCTGGGGGCCTAGGCCCGAACAAAGCTGCTCAGAGACATTCCGAGCTCAGGGATCGAGAGATTCGCAAGCTTTGCCATCAGCAAGGAATTCAAATCTTCTACAGAAACTGCGAACACGGTACTAAGGATGTCGCTCCTGACCAAGCCGTCGGGAATCAAGAAGATGCTAGCGCTGCCTGTAAGCGCATGTTGCAGCTCACGCCCTTCTGAAAGTCTCCTTTGCTCTGGGAGACTGGTGATGAGATGAACCATACCAGCCTCGATCCCACTTCCAGCGATCTCGGCAAAGGTCTGCTGGAGCCCCAGCTGCACCGAGGCCCAATGATCTTGTGCCACGGTGAGATTGAGAATCTCACCCACGAAGGTTCCGTCCACCGTCGGATTGATGTTGGGGCACCAATGGCTTTCCTGATACCAGAGGCAGTCCGCCATGTTTTCGCAGGTCCGCGATTGAGGTCTGGGGCATGCTGTGGTCCTCTTGTTTGTGTTGCAATTGCAAGTCTCAGGGCAAATGTTCTCCAACGTCTTCATCTCGAACTCAAAGACGTTTGAGTTCCAAGTCGTGCAGCTTCCGAAGTCGATGCCCTCTGCGGTCAAGTTCGCTTCAAATTGGCATCCGTAGTCCCACATGGCCTGTGCGAGCTTGGCAGCTTCCGCTTTGCCCTTCAGGTCTGCATCTGACCGAGAGTAGATACGAAGCTGGTCCACCCAGGCCGCCCACTGAGGCAAATCGCGAAGCTCTGCTGCACTTCGCTCCTTGCAGACACTCTGTCTACGAACGTCCCTCCAGTTGTTGTGCAACTGGCATGGGCGGTTGTGAGAGCCGTATGAGCAGCCCTGGACGTTCATGAACTCACCAGCCGGAGTGGTGCAACCGCATGTCTCCGGACACAACATGCGAGTGACGAATCCAACACCTCCGTCACCCTCGTAAGTGGGCAACTTGGTGATGGAGGTACAGTAAGACTTGACATCACTGCAATTGCGTATGCTGCTGTTTCTCAAGAAAAACTGCAAGTAGTTCAACATTTTGCCTTCGTTGCCAACGTCACCACAACCTGGATTCTCCGTATCCAAGATCTCATCAAGAGTTCGAGTTGCTGCAGTCGCAAGAAGTGCAACGTCTGTGAACCAGATCCCATACTTCGCGTCATTCTGCTCTAGATCAACACCTATCCTCTCAGCCTCCCCGACAGCAATCGTCTTCACGCTGTCATCATCAGCCTCCCAACCACCGCCAAAGGTTGGTGCCATCAACATGATCCGGCGCTGATCCTGCATCCAAACGAAACTTGTTTGCCCTCCGCACATCGCCGTCTGAACCTCCATGAGGCTACCCACCATTGGTTGAAGCATAGTGACGTACACGATAAAGAGCAAGGTTGGAATGAGAACAGTCATGGACAATGACTTCAAATCAGCACCGCGCCATCGTGGCAGGGATGGCATATGTAATGGGTCGAGCTGGTGGACTAAATGTCGTCCAGGTGTGGTGGCTAGAGCATCGAAAAGCAGGTCATCGATGTCCAGGATGATGCCCAAAGCAACCGCCTCGTCACAAACAAAAGCGCGAAAAACACTTTCATACAAGGGGTGAAGCAGAGCCAAATGCGTGCACAGTCGCATTGAGGATAAGCTCCGTGACGTCCACGGTGTAGACCAGAAAGAAGGTGCCCACATAGACCAAGAGAACAGCGGAGAGGAGGCGATAAAGGAGTAGCACGAAGGATAAGGCCTTCCTCTTTCCACCCATCGCCTTCAAGCGGTAATGCGTCACTTTGGTAAAGGGGTTCTCCCTTGTATCCAAGGTGGTTGGGCCCCGAGGTAGGGCCGAGACGCTGCGGTGCAAGGCCAAGGCGTGGCTCACCTCCTTCGAAATCCACAAGGGAACACAGCAGCAATGAAGTCTCATGCTAAACTATGGTGACATGATTATATACGACTCTTATACGGTCGTTTGATTCGCAGTAGGATTCTTATTTATTCTCTCCTTGGCCACCATGAGGTACCAGCAGACCAAGGCCACGATGCAGAGCAGCTCTCCAGTGAAGAAGGCCTCAAAGCCCTCGGCATCTGGCTTCAGGTACTTTCCGATGTGCTCGTAGAGGGCCATTTGGATGCCGGACTCCTGCAAGGACTTGTCCAGGGAACACACCCGCTCCACCAGGGAATAGCGTGACACCTCATCATACGAGCTGAGGGAATGGCCTGCTGAACGCCTCCAGCGTGTCGCGTCCTGAACTGTCGTTTCGTCGATCTCCGGATCGATGAAGTTGAAGTAGGCGATACCTACGAAGACAATCTGCATGACGATGTTGACCACCGCAAGAAGGAAGGTCTGGAAGGAGCCAAAAGGACCCAATGCCCCGGTACCGATAAACATGAAGAGGTCCCAGGTCGACTCCCCAAAGGTGTAGTACTCCTGAGACACGCTCTTCGAATCCCCCAAGCCCAACAACCTTCTCTTAGGACCTCAAATTAACCTCAAAACCACCTCAAAGCCTACCTAGCTGCAAACTGGATGTCCTGTGTCTGAGTGTTCAAGATGGACTCATCAACGTCTGCCACTTTGCTGGCAATCAGTTCCGTGATCCTTCGGCCACTTACGCGGCCTTCAGACTTGTCCGTGTTGTTGGGCGACCCTGGTGAGAAAGAAGAAGATCGGATGTTGTGTACACTGGGGACCTCATTGGTCACCTCGGTCTCTTTTGATGCCATTGTTGCAGGTCCTAGTGGAGATGGGGATGTGAATTCCGATGTGAGGGTTGCGTCCACGTCAATGCGACATACTGAGGGCGCACCATTTTCGGCAATGATCCGCTGCAACGTTGCCACGACATCCTGCAATGCGGCAACATTATATTCGAGGTCATCGAAGCGCTCATCGATGGCGTCCAGAATATCTCCATTGTGGTTGGTGAAGGTGTTCTGCTTGCCAAATCCTGCCCCTTCCATGATCCACACCCGTGCCGCCGTGGGATCTACCACAGCCCGCACGCCTCCCTTTCTTCAACCAAGCTTGGGCCGCGGCGTCACGGGCGAACAACCGGCTTGCAGGAAAGGTGCATGCGGAAGAGGTAGCAAAACTGCCCGCCTCTGCCTCAACAAGGCCTCCCACACCATCGGAATGTAACAAAAATAATGAGTGCTTTCGGCCTTTTCAGTCGCCTTCGCAGCACCCAGAGCTGGACACCATCAGTCCTCTCGAATGATGGTGGGTGAAGACAGACGTGCAGAATCCTGCTGAAAGGAGAAGCTTTCTCTTGCTCTAACCCCGAAGAAGGGCTCTCCTGAAATAGCGCTCGGCGCACAAAGTACTTAATGCTCGGGGCTGAGCAAGGACCACCTCCAACTCAGCAGAAGTCAGAGCTCACGCATGGGGAGAGCCTCTCGGCGTGCGTCCGGAAATCCACAGCTAGCTTCGATCTTCGACTCTCGGTGTTTTGGGTGCTCGGTTCTCGGCATGATCCTGAAAGGAAGCAGCCGTCTGTGCGCATCCTTCCAACACGGCTAGCATCGTGTTGAAAAGGGTGAAACCGGGCATGCTTTTGCAGCGTTCCGCGGACGTTGTATCCAGAGCAGGACTGATGCTTGCAGGCGATGAACCGTGCTTGGATGTAACGAGGAACTTTCAAGATCGGGAGTCAAAAACTGGAGAAACAGCACTGCTCTCAAAGTCCGTGCTTGCGCAAAGGGCCGCGGATTCAGATCCAATGCCCTCTGATTCCGAAAGCACATTTGGCTATTCAGTGCTTTACAAAGCCCCGTGCCTCCTCCAATCCAACCGAGACAGCTTCTGAAACTCCAACAGACTAAATGAGCCCCAAGGCTCAACTAGAGCCTCAAAGAGGCACGACGGGAAGAGGACAGGTGCGGAGCTACGTAGCTAGGTCACTTCTCAACAACCCCTCTGCTCAGGACCAGAGCCTAGGAGAAAACAGCAAAGCGTGGCTCTTCTAAGGCGAAGAACATGGGATGCACTTGGGCTTTCTCCGTCTGTGTTTTTGCGCCCGAAACTCCGAGAGAGCACCGGGACATCGGGCCGCCAGCGCCAGGCTTGAGCTTCTTTGTGGGGCTCGGCCCCAGACCTGGAAAAAAGGGCCAATAAGAACTAACAATCATGTATCATTCTTCATTAGCACTATCATTACTCGTGGTGTTTATCAGCACTGTTGGTAATACTTATTCACCGTCATCAAAAGGACATGATCCTCTCTTACCGTTTATCGTGCCCATGGTCATTGTGACTATTGTACTATGGCCCTTACTCGTGTGTTTTTTGATTGCAGTAATGTTATTACTAGTGCTAGTAGTAGTAGTAGTAGTAGTAGTAGTAGTAGTAGTAGTAGCAGAAGAAGAAGAAGTTGTTGCTGTACCATTCAGATTCATATCTTTACGCCGATTTGCGAAAATCCCGAATGCACCTGGCTGGCTGCACGGTCTCTGCATCCATCTTGTCTACCGGCCTCGAAGCTGCAAGAAGGTTCAGCAACATACAGGAAGTTGTGAGGGTTTCAGGCATGTTCGCACAGCTTCCCCAAGCTAATTGGATTACGAGTGGCTGAGACGGAGGCTATCATGGAATCATGGAGTCTCAGTACAGTAACTTGTCAACTTGATGAGGCCACCACAACTTTGTATATTCCAATATGCTGCAGCAGTACCCGAGTCACTACCAACAGATTCGACTATGCCTCGCAGCAGTGAGACTTGAAAGCTCGCCCAGAATTAACACGTGCCGTGCGCAGTCAACCCTCCACGTATCGGAGTTGAAGTAAGGACGGGATGAGCTCCTTGCAGCTAGACAGGCTAGACATGAATCAAGCACCAGTGACCTGTGATGATCTGTGATGCGTACATGTTTCACTCCTTTCTGAACCTGCCTATCTTCGCCTCATGGCCGACATCTGAGAACCTGATAGGAGCCACACACAGGCTTAAACCACAGCCCAAGAACCTTTGGCAGGAGCTGAACCCCCTAAAACCGGCGGTCCAGATGCAGCAAGACAGCGACATACGAAGGAACTGAGTTATGGATGTAATCTGAGTCCAACACCCATGCTCGGTAACAAACTTGTCCTGCACGGCGAGGATTCATCATCCAGGCATAGGAATGGTCTACGCAGCAACGTTCGGTGAACCAATCAACCAGCAAGTACGGAAAGGGATCTTCTGACAGCCTCAGTTCTGAACCACAGCACTTTACCATATCTTCTAGTTTGGCAATATGCGATACCACGATATATTGTAGTATATACCCGCAACCGCGAAGAGGTTGCTTCCTTGGAGTCCATTGCCAAGGCCACGTTGGGCAGCAAACCGACGCTGCGCAGCGGAACAGGTGCCTGGCCCAGGGCTTCTGCAAAATTATCTTATGGTACATTACGGTTTGCTATCATGATATGTTATACTACAATAATTATTATTATATTAAAATAACATATAATATTGTATATTGGTGTGTATATATACATATATATATATATATATTACAGATGGGTCTCATATTCTCATACCAGGGTTTGGAAATTCTTAGCAGCCAGGATGACAAGCACGATACTGCGACTCGCGACTTGTGCAATCAGAACAACGGACAACAAAGACGTCATTCTCGCTCCGGTCTGTCGACGTGTCAAGACAGCTTTTCCAAAGTGTAGATGGTACGGGGATGTTGAAGGTAATGAGACCTGCTGACGAAAATGAAAATGACAGTAAGCATGATAATAACAGTGCCCGAGTGGTGATGGTGACGCTTATGATGGTTGTGGTGGGGACAATGCAAATGACGATGACGATGATGACCATGATCATGATGACGGTGGTGTTGATGATGCACAGCAGGGTTGACTATGCTTATTGTGGTAGTGGTGGTGTTGGTTGTGGTGGTGGTGGTGGTGGTGGTGGTGGTGGTGGTGGTGGTGGCAGTCTTATGGTGGGTGGGGCGGGAGTGGCGGTGGCGGTGGTGGTGTGGTGCGGTTGGGGCAGCGCCTGCGATTCTAATACTCATGATTCATGATGGTGTCAGAAGTGATGGTGAAGTTGGCGTTAACGGGGAAGATGAAACTGACATGCTTCTGAAGGTGAAAGCGAGATTGGGGTAGAATGTGAAGGGCTCACGAAGATAACGAGGCTGGGGACGATGACGGTGATGACGATGATGGCGAGATGAGAGTTGTGTTGATGACCGTCACTGATTGCAGGGATGCTCGTCAAGAAGAAGAAGAAGGACACGAAGAAAAGCTGCAAAACAAAAGTTGTCATCACCAACATCATCGTCATCATCATCACCACATGTCATTATCATCATCGTCATAATCGTCATCCTCGTCATCATTCTCAACACCACCATCATTATTGTCATCTCTATCATAACAAAGGCCGCATCATCATCCTCGTCATCACTACAGTGGTCATATACATCAGTATTTTGATTCCCGGTATTGTGCTTCTCAACATTACCGTCATGATCACGTCCATCCTCTTGTCACCACCCTTCTGCACTGCCTATCATCACCGTGACGGCCCTCCAACTTATGATGATGGAAACAACCAGCCGTTGCAGTCAGCTACCCGGACCAGCCAACCCTGTGGCCTCAAGCGACTGCTTCAGGTCATTGAGCCGCCTCTCGGCCCTTAGAGGATGGGCGTTAAACTGCGTAGGAAAAACTCCGAATGCTACCAGATAGATGACGATCAGTGCCTCGTAGTAATTCATGGCATGCGACACGAAGTTGTGTTCGTGGTAGGGAACCGGAAGAGGAACTTGGATTGATGACCAGTCTGCATGCAGTTTCAGCACACGCAGCAGCCAAGGCAGGATCAGAAGAGGTCAGCCAAGGGCACTGCACGCGGTTCCACAGCGACGCTTGGGCGAACCTCTGTCGGACACAGGTTCGAAGCTTGGGTGACCCCGACCTGCTCTTCCAAACGTCTCTGTAAAAGTCGATAAAATCAGAGAACATCTGACTTCCAGCATCAAGCTTCAAAACAGGCATCTGCCAGGTTCCATGCTAGCTTCAACCGGGCTTGGCAAAAAAGACTGAAACTTCTCCTCAGGCCCAAACGCCCTGGACGCCTTGCGACGCGCGTGGTAGGCCATAATCGACATGCTGGCAACCTGGAAGAGCTGGGGAAGAAAACCGTGCTACTCCTATACTCCCCGAAAACACCTCCAAGTATGATAGCCCACATAGAGAAGTCACATTGTCTTTATAGCCTGTAAACACTTCGTGGAATATGCTGCCTATGCTTTACTTATGACTCATTATCCGAAACAGTGCAGCAAACGAGTTGCATTCACTGGCTTGTTGTGGCCGCAAAAGATTAATATCCGCCTTTTTCATAGGAATTTCAAGCATAAATTTGCCATCCTGTCACAAGAAACTCACCATCGAGCAAAACTGCTGTGTGTGCTTAAACCCAGCAACAGTTTCTAACTGCTCATCATGTTTCATGTGATTGGTGCTCCTGTTCCTCTTGCATCCACATTGAAAACCACTTTCAAACACTTTATGCCCTTGCTGTAGCGCAATTCTTTTGTTGTCGCTTTACCGTGACAGCTTGTGCGATTGAGTCTGTCATCTTCCACGTAAAAACTTCAAGGCATGATCAGTTTAGCTAAGTTATCCGTTTATCCTTGCATGTTTCTTGGAATGTAGACAGTCACAAACATACCACTGTTTGTTTAAATTGCTTAAAATAATCCTAAAGACCTACCCTGCTTCGCATGGCAATATCGCTTGCTTGGACCAGAAAACAACATGTTTCGGCTCGTGAGATCGGATACATTGTTTCGAAGGACAATAATAATCGACATTAAAGCCCATGGCTGTTGTATCAACATATCCTGTCACATCAATGATGGCTCAGAACTTCAGAGTACTAATCGGACTACTCGCAACCGCAGGGTTTCTGTCATAAAGCTTTAGCACATAATCGCTGATTCGGTGCGAGTCTGATGAGCAAAGATAGTCCTAAAGTAGAGCCAAGAGACATACCCTAATGCAAGTGTTATAAGCACAATAAATACAATGCTACCTCCTAAATCACTTTCAAAACTGTTATGCATGGCTTCTTTGGTCGGGAAAGGACCCGCCTGATCATGAATGCCATGCTAGATGAAAGAGACTGAAACCTTATGTCAGTCAACAACTCATCAGTTTCAGCCCTTATCCGCACATCCTGGCGCCAGCTGTGCAATTCAAGAGCGAGAAGTAACATATTTCTTGTAACATTGTAGCAAATTCTAGCAGAGGCAAATGTGTTATTATTCATGTTTTTGTTTACCTTATTGAAAGGTCCATACTGGCACAGTTTTCTTCACTATGACTGAATCAATCACTATCAGAGCTCTTCACATTCTTCGTTAGTTCTACCATCTCTTTCTTCAAGGCGGTCACCTCCGACAAAAGATACGAGAAGGACCCCATCACGCAAGCTTCGCTTATATTCCATGCTCATGGGCTCATACCCTCGTCAATATCAAATGTGAAACTGTCCCATTCGAGAAGCAGCTTGACATCATTGAAATCATCTGGCATGAATCCGATTCACTTCTCGTTTCCATCATCTTGGATATGTATTTACATATATTACGACACTAGCTGGCTCTAACTTCTTTAACAAACTTGACTGTCGGATGATTCAATTTATGGTTGATAAACTGCTGCTGGATCTGTGTTTCTGTATTGTGTGTCTGATACTTCTCTCATCTCAACAGCGTTTTTGTAATTCAATCTTACACCAACTAAGAACCCTTGCCTCAGAGGCCTAACGACTGCTCTATTGAATGTATCTCCATTCATACCTTTCTGTGCTCTCCAATTCCCATAATGTTTGACTCTTTGAAATCCTTAAACTATGATGCCTCCTGCTCAGAGAATGTTCTTGTCAGCGTTGCCCGACCTGGGCCTTCGCGTCTCCCCTGGAACGAAAACGGCTACCGAAGGCTCGAGCCTCACCGCCTGCACACCCATCGTGCACATGGACAGTCCTATCTAGTAATCTAACTCTCCATCAGGATACCTATATTTCTATCATTTCTATCTGTCTCCATCTCACTGTCCCTGTCTCTTCTTTTCTCGAGGGCGACCCACGACTTCAGCGCCCCGCTGCCCGTCTAGTGCAGAGAAGAAAGGGGAAGAGAGGACCTTTCAGTCCCGAGTAGGGGGCTTTCCTCAGCACTCTGGCTAGTTGGCAACCTGGAGAGGATAGTTACGATTACTGGTTGTCGCGCAACATCGAAGTCGCAAGTGACCCGACAACCACTCTCCCAAACAACACAGCTCTGGCCTGCTACCCTATGCTTGCTCTGCCTCTCTTCTTCTCTCCTACACAGACACATCCGGATACGAGGTCTCAGAATGAGAGTAGCACAACAGTACGACAACTGGGCTCCCTTGAAAGCGAGCATATCTTTTCACCAAGCCAGAGTCAGATCTCAGGTGTCCTTTGGATCGGAAAGAAGCTTCCTTCGGAAGTCCCTTTCCTCCAAGACTCTCCGGCCTCCCTGCTCGGGACCCCCCCCCTCAGATGCCCGTCATCCAGCTGGGATGGCTCTCAAAGTCTAGGCTTCAAACACAACTCTTGTGTGGCAGCCCAGCAATGGAGGGGTATCTCCTGGTGGATTCGTCTCAGCAAGACTGCTTGAATGCCTGAGCCGTCTTTCGAGGTTGTTTCAGTCTTAACATACCATCTGCGCTCAAACAGAAGGTTCACAGCCGACATCAGCCGACTGTCTCCCAAAAACCGGTAGTCGTTGACCTCACCTACGGCTGAGTTCAATAGGCCGGAACATGGAGTCACAACGAGCGAGCTTCAAGCAAAGGACACCAACGAGCAAAGGGCACGTGGGCTGCTGGCAAAGGCTACGCTTCAGTGAACCCCCGGATACCTGAAGGAGGTTCCGCACTCCCAAATCTCCCAAAGCTCACAAGCTTGCCCCCTTCTAACTTAGACCGGGCCTCGCAGCTCAGGATCACCTGAGCCTGCAGGAAAAGAACCGGGCTCTCTGAAGAATTCCAGGAAGCAGAGATTCTGAAGCCAAATTTGCATAGACAGGACTGTTGCGCAGTCTCAAGTTCCATTCCTAGCTCCCCTGCTTCTCAGATTTCTCAGGTTTTGGACCTCTCGGGTGGCCTCCGCAAGGCATTCTCGTACGCGTGCTGCAGCACTGCCACGGATGTGATCTGAGCTACCGAGGATCCAGTCTGTTGAGACTTCAAGGCAAACCGCTTCGCAGACCCAAGGCGGACACGAATTCTACTGAGGCACTGAGGCAAAGACCGATTGCGGCTTCGCCTGCCGCTTGGGTGGTCGGGTGCCGCAGTCGTTTTCCTGCAGGCATCTTCATGCATCTCCGTGGCAGACGCAGAAAACGCAGCACAGATTGCATAGATTGTACATCTCCTGAAAGAAATCGAGGAGGGGGCTCCATCTCAGATCCAAGGCCTGAGAGGGCGAAAAAAAAAAACGCGACTGCGGCTGAGCGTCGACAAGTGCTCCGCTGTGCCTGGTTGAGGCAGCCCAGGGCGTGGAGGAAGGAGGCGAAGCAGAGGCCCGGGCAGTCGCCCTCCTGGATCACTCGAGGCGAAAAGTCTGGCTCTGACTCGGCTACGGCCTCCGAAAGACGCCACGTCGTCTGGCTAATGTCGGTTAAGTTAACTGACTGGAAGCTTCGCGGGTCAGTCAAATCACCAAGGTTTCGTTCTTGTGTAGCGGGGCGGCATCCAACTTTTCAGAAAGGCTGCCTGCTTCCTCCTGGCATCCTCGAAAGCTCGCTCAAGCGCTGCTTCGCCACCAGCCTGCCACAAAACTGCACAGGCCACTACGAGTGCGACAAGAGAGCCGAAGGTGCCCAGCCCACTCGGTGCCACATCGGACGCAGCCTCCCGCAGCTGTGCGCTCCGAAGAGGGTCGTGCGGCTCAAGGTCCTCGAAGAAGGAAATCCAGGCCTTCCTTGAGCGGAAGCAGCGGAAGCGGCGGAAGCGAAGCAAGACCAAAAGCGCCGACAGTGCCGAGACAACCCTCCCTGGCAGCTGGCAAGTGCGGCCAAGATGCAGACTCACGAAGAGGACTCCCTGCAGCCATGCAAACCGGGGGCATGGTGTGTCGCGAGGAGATAGACGCCCTGCTGCGAACCTCTGAAGATCTTTCGCATGCTGAAGAGAACCAGGATCGGAAGGACAGTTCCAGATTGCCCATGGCCTGTCGAAGCTGCGAAGCCATGCCGAAATTCTCCAGTACGTGGCCAATGACCGGCTTCGGGTGGTACCAAGCCCTGGCCTGCAAACGGGCCTGCAGCTGAGTCGAGGGACCGTCTCCTGGCAGCAGGACCCACGTGCAGAATTCAAGTTTGGATGCTGCCACTTAGTTTTTGGACGAGGTGGTCAGGGTAGTAGCAATAGTAGTAGAGTCATCGTCGCAATAGTCGTAGTGGTCGTATGCAGTAGTCCAAGTAGTCCAAGTAGTCCTACTAGTAGTCGTCCTACTGTTGATGACATAAATCGCGCATGACTTTGAGCAACCCAACATGTCCCGTCCAAAAGAGTTGCATCCCCGCAACCCTGAATGTCAATGTTGATGTCAGAGGATAAGTCATCCAGGATCTATATCCTCCCCGCGGTCCTGTTAATGAACGTTCTCCTTCGACCTTATTAAGAATCAGCGGTTGTAGGGGAGTGGCCTGTGTCTTACAAAGTCATGCGGGATTTATATCATCCACCGTAGTGGTAGGAACGCGGTTGGAACACGCATGGTGTTACTTCGGGGGGGGGGGGGGGCGCTTGGGCGTCGGTTTGTGCAGATCATTGAATCTTGGGCTTTGCTGGTTTGCACCGCACACTTTTCAATTTACTGCGACCTCTACTTTCCCTATCAAACGCGTACGAAGCCCCGTTCTGATTCTCAGGGCCACCACTCCATAACAGTGTCTAAAATCATAACCGTAGTCGAACTCTTAAGGGCCCAATATGAAACCCTTTACAGCTGGCAAAAGTCTCTAATTAATTTGATTGGCAAAAGCCCTACAGTAACCTGATTCTCAAGGCTTTCATCAACCGGTCTAAAGCCCAAACAAAAGGAAGAATCCGCAGCCTGATTGCTAAGGCCCCAAACATTAAACGCTTTTCAACTTAAACAGGCCTGTTTTCCTTTGGAAAAAATATAAAGTCTTATTCTGATCGTCAAGGGCCCACGTTTACGCAGAGCCCCGAAACCGGTACCCTCCGAAATCTGGAGGGATTTAGGATTAAGTTGTCGGACTTAGAGTTCATAAATATACCACGGGCCAGTGTTTTCTTGTTGTTACCGTCCTAAGTGCAGGGGCACAAACCAACCGCGCACTTAGTCATAGTCGTCGCAGTCGTAATCGTAGTCGTCGTCG